CAGACACCCCTAAAATCGCCGAGCCGCTAAGCCGGGCTGGCTGGGCAGACACCCCTAAAATCGCCGAGCCGCGCTGGCTGCCGCTGCTCCGCTCCGCTGCAGGCGCTCCGGGATGCGATGCGCTTGGCTCCGCTACTCGCAGCAGGGTTAACTCTGGCGCTGGGCCCACCTCCAGGTCAGGTTAGGTTGCCTTCCTCACCTGTGGTGCTGCGAGCCGCGCGTTTGGCTGAGCTGTTTTCAGTGCTCTGACTTGACAGAAACCTCTTTTTTTTTTTTTTTTTTTTTTTTTTTTTTTTTTTTTTTTAATTGCTGCGTGAGTTTTCTGCCAGCTTGGCATGCTGGAACAGCTTTTCCGAGGCAGCATGAGTAAGAGGGTGGGACCAGGGACAGCACAAGCAGAGCAGCCAGCGGTTAGATCGGCTCGGGCGATGGTGAAACCGCAGCATCCGGAGCAGCGGGCAGAGGGAAACCTGCCGGCGGCTCCGGCCACAGCGCCCGCCTGTCCCCAGAAACTGCTGGGGCACTGGTCATCGCAGGCGGCACCAAACTTCCTCCTGGGAGGAGTCAGGATTAGCTCCGCGTTCTTCAGCAGGAGTCACATGAAGGCAATTGTTGATTTATTTAAATAAAAGGAGTTGGCAGCCTAATCAGTTTGGAAATTAATTTCCTTGTTAATTTGGGGGTTTTGACTTGCTCATGAATATTCACAAATGCTCATCTTGTTGTGGTTGTTTTTTTTTTTTTCTTTTCCTCTCCTCTATGTAATTTATTTTTGTGATTGTCAGATCACCTCTGAAGGTGACATTTCTCTCCTCGTTCTGCAACGCAGCAAATGTATTCAATCTTATGCCTTGGAAGAGGAGCTCCAGCCTGGCACTGACATCTCTTTTACTTCTCTCTTCTTCATCAAAGTATCCTTTATAGCCACCTTCCTCCCTTCATGCTGCCTAGGAAGAAACAGGAGTGAGTCTCCTAGAAGAGGGCTGGCCTGGACGTGATAACCAGGAGTGCTTGTCAGAATGCCCTATACCTGGCAAGGGAAATTGTCACTTGAGGATTGGGACAAAGTGGTTAATTTTTCTTAGGGTGCCTGGAGTTTTCTGCTCCCCCTCCCACCCCGCACTGCCGAGCACCCTTCAGCAGCACGTGAGGCAGCGTGACTAACATCTGCCACAGACCTTGATTTGTCTTATCTCCTTTCCTTCGGAGGCGGCAAAGTCAGAGAAACACGGGTGTGTGTCTCTGGAGAGTACAGCTGATCTCTTTACCTTCTTTTCCAGCTCTCTGTTCCCTCCCTTGACTTATGCTGGGAGCTCTTGCTCCTTTCCACACCAGGGAAGAGCACCTTGGTTACCACTGTGGGTTTCTCCTGGAGAGACATGCCTGTGTCCCACATGTTTAGGGCTTCTAGGGTTTTGCAACACTGACAGGCTGGGCTCAGCTAAGGAGTGTGGTGAATAAAAACCTATGTAAAACCACTGGTGTGGGGCGCAGGAGGTGCAGCATGGGGTGAAGAGGTGCCCTCCTTACGCTGTGCTCATGCACAGAGGCAGGCTTGGCTGAGAGCTGGTAACATGATGTGTGCAGTGGAGACCCCCAGGCCAGTCTCCAGAGCAGCTCATTTCTTTAGAAAGGCCAGCTTTGGTACAGCCTCCATCTACCCATCTTGCTTGGAGCTGTGTGAGGAGGGGTGGCCAGGCTGCACCAGCCATGGGGCTCACCCAGCAGCACTGCCAGCCCAGCCTGGGAGCTGGGGAGTGGGTGACAGAGATGTTCACAACTCTGCAGCAGGGAAATAAGCCAGCAGCAATGCCAAGTGACTGCAGGAGGTAGCAGGGCCCTGGAGCAGGTGGTAGGGGGAGGTTAGCGGGGCCTCCCTCCTGGGAACAGAATCATGTGAATAACACAGCCGGGTTCCCACCTCCTGCTGAGGGCACCAGCTCCTGACAGGCTCAGAAAAGAAAACGTGTGGAGAAAGCCAGCCGGTTACCACGACAATTGCTCTCTCACAACCTTGTAACAACTTCTGCTGTGCAGCTTTGGCCCGGGAGGGTGGCAAACATACACCTCCATGCTGGCTCCTGTTCCATCCCCCATCCTTGTTGCCTCCTCCACAATCACATCTGACTGTCACGTTCCCACCTCAGCGCTTTCCTTCTTTATCTACTCTCCTGATTTCTCCAGCTCTCTCTTTTTTCACCACCCCATCGCAAAGCACACACCCCTGGCCCTTCAGTTGTGATTGCAGACCATCCTCCCGTGGTGCCACTGTGCTCTCCTGTACTTGAACACCTTTTGTTTGCTCCCTGTGTGTACACTGCACTGCTCACGGTGGCTGTCCCAGTAACATGGGTGGTATTTATTCTGTGTCACAGGATCCTGCTTGGCTGGCTCCTAGGGCTGGTAAACCTGGCCTAAGGAGGCCTGATGGCCTCATTAATCTGGCTCAAGTGGTACCTGAATTTGTTGGGGGTACTGACCAATAGGTAGAGATGGATAGATAGACTTGGAAGCTGTGATGATGTAGTGACACACATTTTAAGGATGGCGGCTGTTCATTCTCACCCAAATTTTTAGCTGCTTGTAGGACAATATTTGGTTTATTCTGCATCTGGTATTTTAATCTTGAGAGTACATTTCTCAGCAAGGCGTGTTGTCCTCACTCTTTTCAGGGAACTGACATCTCTTTGGCAATCGGCTGATTAAATCCCCTGGCAGCACACAGCAGAGAGCATTTCAGCACGTCATTCTTGGGGTTTTTTTTGTTGGGTTTTTGGTTTTTTTCTCCTACTGCATGGAAATAGATTGCATTTTCCCCTGCTTGGTAACTTTTCTGCTTAGTGTTGTTTAAGCTTTTAGAAATCCACGGTAATGGAGAGTTACAGATGTGTGTTATCCTGCACATGCTTGGTCGCCTGAATCATTTCATTATAGTGGCATCTTGCTCAGTTAAGGGCAAGGAGCAGAAACCACGCACCTGGGATACACTCTGGAATTGGAAGCACATGCAGCAACAATGCAATGCTTTTTCAGTGAAAGAAGTAAGTTTCTCTGAAACTGGGAGGACTGGGAACTTGGAGGTGGGTCCCTGTTGGGCAGGAATGTAACAAATTGTGATTGGGTCAGCCTTGGCTCCAGGCTGAGTTCATTTCACCACTGTAGTGTAGTCAGGGCAGTTAGTTACTGAAACTTCTGGCCAATGTGCCATGAATACAAATCCTATTATTTTGAAGGAGGAAAAAGTATCACTAATTGGATGTGTCAGGACAGCAAGACTGGCTGAGGACCTTCAGCACAGGGCAAAAATCACAGTTACATCAGAAGTGCCTGAGAGGGTCTCTACTGAGTGGGCACGGCCAAAGGATAGCACATGGGCAGAGGCAAAGCCTGCTCTAGTAGGGCAATATGTTCTCTGTGGCAATAACCCCTGTATTTTATTAGATCCCCACAAAAATTATCAAGAAGCATTTTAAACATGATTCAGCAGTGAGCCCTTCAAATAATGAAGGTCCCCTAGGCTGCATTAGCAAGGATGTAGTCAGCAGATCAAGGGAAATAATTATTTGCATCCACCTGAGTGGTGTGAGGCCCCCCTGGAAGATTACACCCAAGCTGCAGCATAGCCAGAAAAAGGCCCCCACGGTGGAGGGTAGAGCACACAATGCACAAGGAGAAGGCTGGGGGAGCTGGGTTTGTTAAACAGGGAAGACCGAGGGGGGTATCTAGTTGCTGTCTGCTCCTACCTAAAGGAAAGATGTAGAGAAGAAGAAGCCAGACTCTGAGAAGGCAACAAACAAGGGCCAAGAAACAAGGGCCAAATGTTGAAACAAAGAAATTCTAAATGTGTGTAAGAAAAAACCCTTGAGAACAGTTCAGTAGGGAAAATGTGCCTTAAAAAATTGGGATATCTCCATCCTTGGAGATGTTCAAAGTTGTGTGAGCAAGGCCCTAAGCAAGCTGGTCTAGCTTTGGACTTACCCTGCTAAAATTTGGCT